CTGGAGCAAACAGCTACTGACATGCAGAAACAGCTCCAGGCCACAACAATGGCCTTTCAGATGAACATTCAAGAAAACAAGTCTCTGAAGAGCCAGATGGAGAACCAGCTGGCCAAGGTAGGGCCCAAGTAACATTTTGGATCTGTTGATTCAGAATGTTCAAATTTATAGGGCTCATGGAAAATTTGGCTACTGTGAGGCAACAAATAATGCTACAGACTTGCAACTAAGATGAAATTCTAGCTTATTCATTGGGGTGTCAGCAAATTTGATGTTTCTTCAAAAGTCACTGAACTGGATCCAGAAGAAAACCACCATTATTGAAATACAGTTTTTCTTGAATAGCTTATGAATTAATAATGTGATTCCAAATGCTAAAGGAAGCATACTTTGAGGGTCATACTATCATGCGAATATTGCTTTTAGGAGTCATGCCATTATGGGGTAATTGATCTGCCTATGTTGAGGTTTGCACTTTCTGAATGCTGTTTAGTTTTTTTTATACTGTCTCTGAGCTTAGGCTAGCATTAAATTTTAAGATATATCATATTGTTTTTGTGTTGCAGTATTAAAAACTTGATATAATTTTACTACATTTTTTTTGTACAAATTATACTATGGGTAAATAGTAGTTAACCCAGGTGTGCCACCTCTCACCCCTCTAGGTTCTGTCTGAGCTTGCCGGTCAACAGAAGATTAGAGAAGATCTCCAAGTGGCCACAACAGAGGCCGAACGTTTCCTGAGTTTGGCCCAGACTCGGCTGCATTTGCGTCACCAAAGGCCTGCAAAAGAGCAGTGCCATGATCCAGCACAGTCCCAGCTCCTCTCAGAGGTCCAGCAGCTCACCGCTCAGATCAGCAGGTAAGGCCACGACACAGCTGCCTCTGATGTGAATGGACAATGTAACAAATGCAATTTATAGGGGTACTGTCACAGTTTAATGAAACTTGTATGGACACACAGCTATTATGGCTGCTAGTTTACATACACTATAACTGAGCAATTTAAAATATAAATATCCATCCATCCATTTTCCTCCGCTTATCTGGGACCGGGTCGCGGGGGCAGCAGTCTAAGCAAAGATG